CTTGCATTCTGCTGCCTTGGCGTCCGGAGACAGCCACCACCTTACTGAATTGAGATGCTGGGCTCAGGATTCCGGGATCCTAAATCCCAACCCTAAACCCTAAACCCCTAAACCCTAAACCCTAAAACCCCTAAAACCTAAACCCTAAACCCCTAAACCCTAAACCCTAAAACCCCTAAACCAGCAAACCCTAAAACCCCTAAAACCCCAAAACCCCCCAACACTTAAAAACGAGCTCGGGGATGCTGGGAGGATGTCAGGGAGCTACTCTTGGCTCTGCCCCCGGCAGAGGCGGGGAGCAGAGGGTTTTGTAGGGGCCGCTTTCTTTTGGGTCTTAGGGGGTTTTAGGGTTTTTAGGGTTTTCGGGTTTTGGGTTTTTTTTGGGTTTTAGGGTTTACAGTAGGGGTTTTAGGGGTTCAGGGTTTGGGGGGTTTAGGGGTTTAGGGTTTAGGGGTTTAGGGGCGTGTTTTGAATTGCTCGCGGGTTTTAGGGGAGTTTCCAGGAGCTCCGACATGGCTTGGTTGGGGTTTTAAAAGCGGCTTAGGGTTTAGGGTCTAGGGTTTAGGGTTTAGGGTTTAGGGTACGATGTTTATGTCAGTCACGATGTCTACGATATTCTCATGCATGACGTCCAGCACACACATCAGATGATTCATGACAAGTTCGCAAAGGTCATGTGTGTTCAGCATAGTTTCGGATCCCGTTGATCGGCGGATGCGAAAGCTGGCTCCGCAGTAAAGCTGCTAGGGCTGCTTGCTCCAACTCCGGGCGAAGTGGAAAGCCTGTTGCAAAAAGGGTTTAGGGTTTAGGGTTTGCGTGTAGAAGGGCCTCAGCAGGGCTTTAAAGCGGGTCGTGGCTGTTTCTATATACTGTTAGGGTGTGGATTCAGTATTTCAGATGGTCGGATCATAGAGTTTTCAGGGATTTAGTAGTTTAAGTTACTACTATTAGAAAACCATGTTAGGGCCCCGGTCGTGGGCTTGGTTTCGGAAACCCGAGCCTGAGGAAATTGAGAAATCTCGTAAACATCCCAAGCCAAGCACCTCCCCAGCCACATGGCCTTAACCTCGAACTAGAATCCACCACAATACCCTAAGCCCTAAACCGTAAATCGCTGTGAGAGCGTAAACCGTAAACCCAAAACCCTAAACCCTAAACCCGAAACCCGAAACCCGAACCAGCCACAATAATTTAGAAGTGCTGAGCCCCAAGATCGTCTGGGTTTTGCAAGGACTCCTCAATAAGGCACGCCCATCATCAACCCTAAAAATCTTAAAGCCCTAAACTCTGAAGGCCCCAACCCGTAAACCCTACATCCCCCAAGCCCTATACTCTAAAGCCCGAATGCTCTCGAAACTTAAACTTGGCCCCAGGGTCAGAAGGTGGCCGAGGCGCTTCAGGCCGACCGCATGAATGGGCTTAGAGCCTAGGGTTTCGGATCTAGGCTTTAGGGTTTAGGGGTTTAGAGTTTAGGGGTGTAGTTTGTGTAGTTGCAAGCTGATTGAAAAGGGGTTTAGGGGTTTAGGGTTTAGGGGTGTAGTTGCAAGCTGATTTTCAAGGGGGTTTAGGAGTTTAGGGTGTAGGGGTTGAAGGGATTCAGGGCTCAGTCCATTGCAGTCCCTGCTCAAAAAAAGGGTGTAGGGGTTTAGGGTTCAGGGTGTAGAACTTGGAGGCACCTCAGACAGACCTCGTTCAATAAAGGGTTTAGGGTTTTGGATCTACTTTGGGACAGGACTTGGGCCCTGAATCCTGGAACCCTTACAGAGATCCTTATAGTATCGGTTATAAGGTTTCGGATCTAGGGGTTTAGGGCTTAAGGTTTAGGGGTTTGGGGTTTAGGGCTTATAGTTGTTCGGAGCCGGAGCCCTTTCTGGGAACTCCCATCGGCACCCACCAGGAGCAGCTGCGCTTGTAGCAGCCCTTATCCCGACTGCCAAAACAGGAGCCCCCCAAAGGAACCCTTAAAGGAACTCGGAGCCCTAATCCCTGAACCCTCCACGGAACGCTTGAAGGAACTCTCCCTACACTTTGTTGCTAAGGCTGTAGACAAACCTCGGAATCCGTGCATCACACGCAAGTCTCAAACCAAGGGAACCTGACTATATGTACTGAAGACGCTCGTCTCTGTGATGCACCCCTGTGGGGTCTAACATCCGCACATCAGGCTCCTCTTTGAGTCATATGTGTAGTTCTCTACAGTAGGGTCCCTTTTTGGGTCCCAATACAGTGCGGCACCCTTATAAAAGGGGCCCCAAAAGGGATCCGAATTTAGAGAACTACCCATGTGGTTACCGTGAAGAAATACCGCCTTTCTGCTCGTAACCATCCTCGACCCAGTAAGTTCCAAAAAGGCTCAGCAGCAAGAACCTCGAGAGTGAGCGCCGGAGGGTTCCAAGGAACCCTTAAGGGTTTAGGGTTTAGGGTTTAGGGTTTAGGGTTTAGGGTTTTGCAGCCCTAATCCCAAAACCTACACTAAAGGAACTTAAAACCCTAATCCCCAAACCTTCAAAGGAACCTTTAAGGGAACTTAAAACCCTAATCCCTAAACCTTCAGAGGAACCCTTAAAGGAACTTTAAAACCTTCATAGCCTTAGGAGGAACCCTCGAAGGAACTTTCGAACCCTAATCCCCAAACCTGCAGAGGAACCCTTAAGGGAACTTAAAACCCCAATCCCTAAACCTTCAGAGGAACCCTCAAAGGAACTTAAAACCCTAATCCCTAAACCTTCAGAGGAACCCTCAAAGGAATTTTAAAACCCTAATCCCCAAGCCTGCAGAGGAACCCTCAAAGGAACTCTGACACGGAGGAAGCCTCCGAAGCCCTTGCAAGGCCAGCTCGGCTGATCCCAAGGCTGCCGGCGACGAGGAGCTCGGCTAAGCTAGGCTTGGGGTTCATGGGTTTGTGTTTAGGGTATGAGGTTCAGGTTTTGGGGTTCAGGGTTTATGTTTAGGGGCGAGCTTCAATCAAGCTTGTGTAAAAAGTGTATAGGGTTCAGGGTTTTGGGGTTCAGGGCTTAGCCTTAGTGCATTGCAGTCCCTGCTCAAAGCAGGGCTTAGCCTAATTCAAGCCTCGGTTGGGTTTTCCTTACGAACTAGTGTTTGTGGTACTAGATGCACAAGAGCAACACTGAGAAAACGACACAAATGCGAGTACTCCGTGCATACACCATGCTCCCCGCAAAGGTTTTGAGCCGGAAGCCCAGAACCAAAGCGCTGAAATCCCAGAGCAACCTAGCCAAGCTCCCGCGGCTCCAAGCAAAACGCGGAAGTCTGCAGAACCCCCAACATGTGGGTAGTTCTCTAAATTAGGGTCCCCAAATATAGTACGGCACCCTTATAAAAAAGGACCCCCAAAAGGGACCCTAGGTTAGAAAGCTACCCATGTCGCGGCCACTCGGAGGAGATTCCGGCGTCCTGGGGATGGCCCAAAGAGCCCTACGACCCAGAGGAGTGGAATCGGGGGTTTACTAAAACCCGACTAAACCGTAAACCCGTAAACCTTAAACCCTAAACCCTAAACCCGCAAACCCTAAACCCTAAACCCGTAAACCTTAAACCCTAAACCTAACCCCATAAACCTTAAACCCTAAACCCTAACCCCATTCTAAAGAATGGGGGCCTCGGGGCCCAGGCCTGGGAGGTTTCCAAAGAGCTAAAGGGTTTAGGGTTTAGGGTTTAGGGTTTAGGGTTTAGGGTTTAGGGCCTGAGGCTAATGGGGTCTGTTGGAGTGTTGCAAGATGGAGGTCCTGATATTCAGTAGAGCTATACCCTCATAATGTCATAGTTTCTTCGTGAAGTAATGTCATAGTTTCTTTTTGAAGTAACGTCATAGTTTCTTCTTGAAGTAATGTCATTTTTTATACTTGAAGTAATGTCATAGTTTCTTCTTGAAGTATAGTTTCTTCTTGAAGTAATGTCATAGTTTCCTCTTTAAGAGTGTTACTTTAAAGGGCCGGGCCCTTGGGTTGAGGAATTCTTCAGGAGGCATCTGGTCCTCAAGACCAAACCCAAGCGCCAGAAACCCGTAAGCACCCTGGAAGAGAGGAAGGGGAGAAGTGGTAACACCGAAAGGCCCAAACCCTATACCGCCTCCACCCTAACAGAAGGCAGTATGGATAGTCATGCAGTCGGAAAAAGGTGTCGAACAAAAACAATCTTCTGTCGTTGTAGGCGCTCCGCCTCTATGTTCTGGAGGCCACCAAGCCTACACAGCAGGTGCGTGGTCCGGGGGTCCAGTGCTACCGGGGCTTTAGGACTTGATTCCGGTTTCGGGTCAGCGAGAGGATGGGAGAGTGAGGCAAGGCAGACCTCGGGAGGTATGTGATGTGGTTAAGGTTGCACTACATTTTCGGGTCTCCAGCGTGTTTTGTGCCCCCCTTCACGGGAGCATGCGCCACGCGTTTTACCCGCTTTGCTTTCGGGCCTTATCCATTTCACGAAGTGTTTTGAACTGGGGATCCACACCCTGCTCTTTTCATGGATCCCTACTGACCTACTGCTTTCACGCCTTCCCTCCCCAATCGCAAACCAAAATCACGATGAGCTTGAGTTCCAGCCCTGGGCCCTAGACATGAAGCTTCGGGGTTTGTGGTTTAGATTCACCTTTACAAGGAACCCTTTCAAGGAAACCTGTTCTAATCTACCAAGGCCGCTAAACCCTAAACCATAAGTGAAAAGAGATTTTGCAGGAATCCTGGGACGAAGCACTGGCTGCCCGTTCCATCGATGGGAAAAAGGAGGACTTGCGGTCAAGGGTTCAGGGACATTTAGGTGAGCTGTCCCTGCTAGGTTCTCAATAGTTTTGGAAGAATCAGAGTCGCACTATGACTTTAAGAAGAAGAAGAAGAAAATAAGCATAAGAGGTAGAGAGCACCACACTCGTTTTGGTTGTGTTTTTGCGGGTGGGTCCTTCATGTTTTGTGCAGGGTCTGCTTGTGTTGTCAAGGAGCACTAGTCGCAGTTATTGAGGTTCTTGCTGTAAACTCAAGGTGGTCCGAAACCCAAACCCTAAGCCTAAACCCTACAAGCCCTTTTCCCTAAACCCCTTGACAGCTGCGTGCGAGAGTGAGAGTCGAAAAATCCCGTTAGAGCCCACTTCTTTCCGTTGTCTCCGGGCCGGGGCTTAGCAACTGCAGGATTTCGTCGAGGAGAAGGCGTTTGCAAACCTGCTCCTCAACAAGGAGACTGGGGAGGGGGGAACCTTGTGGCTTCCGAGCTTTCCGGGCTTCATAATTATACGATGGGGTGGGATTAGGGTTTAGGCTTGAGGCTTTAGGGTACAGGCTCGGAATCATGAGTAATAGTAGGTACCTGTATGAACGGATACTGCGGGGGGGGACCAGGGCTTGAGCACCAACGAAGCGCGACCAAGCCTCCTAGAGATTCTTGAGTCGGCCCCCGCAAGGAATGTGCATGTCGCGTCTTTTCGCAGGACGTTTCATCTAAGATGCACGCAAATTCCGAGAACCCTTCACCCTAAACCGCCCGCAGCAACGTCAGGAGGGGACCGGTGAAGCGAAGAAGGATCGCGGCATCGACCCTCATGCCTATGAGAAGGGCAAGTGGTACCGCTTCTTGAACTACAAGGGCGACTGCTACGTGCACCTGGACAGAATTTTTCTTGGTGTTCCTCGAAAGGTGTAGCTGGGCTTTCGGCGGCAGGGTCTTGTTGTGCGGCTGTCACACAGCTGTCCGCCAGAACAACACTATGAGCTAACTCAAGTTTCTTGGTCGGGGTCGAGTGTGGATGATGTGCATGTTTGCTCGCGGCAAGGTTGCACCGCCACATGATTTTCTTGCCTTCAGAGCGTCTGTTTTTGGGACTCAGGGTGCAGTGTTAGTGTTGGATCCTTACGCCTACACGATAACTCCCTTGACCCCCTTAAGGCCAAGTTGAGACGAGGTACGTGCACAACCACACGCGCGACATCACTGCCACGAGGCCAGAGAACTTCGCCGAGCTGACTGAGGAGGCGAAAGTTGAGCAGTTTGGAATTTAAGGTTCACTTCAGGTGTGGTCGTTTTGGGATGCTGTTAGACTGTTCCTGATCATGCCATTGGATTGGATTTTTGGATACAGAAGTCTAACCTGTGAGCAGAAAGGCCACTGCTCGGGCCCGTCTTGGAAGGATGCCGTTTCATCGAACCTCAGATCTTAAATTAAGCCCGTGAGCATTCAGTGTCAAATGTGGCCAAACAACTCTGCGACTCCCATCCTGTGCGAGTTGAAAACTTAGTGCCAGCTCCTCACCTCCTTGGAAGGAGAAGGCCTTGATCAAGAAGCTGGGCACCTATATCAAGGAGGCGAGGTCCAATTCTGCATCTTATGGTACTAAAAACCGTACCTATGATGAAGGAGCCCTACTGACTAGTGTTACCAATTATTCGGACCCATGTGTAGCCGGGGTTTAGGGCAAAGGTAGCGCTGACACTGCAGAGGCCTGAGTTGCCGCTCCCGGCCCATCGGGGACGTGGACTTGCAAGGGCCATTTCGGAGATTCTCCCAGCCCTCGAACTACCGCAGAGGAGCCGCCCCCAAGCCCTCATACCCAGCAGACCAGAAGAACCTCCAAAATCATAAATCAAAAGGTAATAGACATTACTAGTCAATAGGATTCCTGAAAGTTCTTATTGATATACTACAATACTACAATGTGCCCCGAAATCCTGTTCCAATTCTCAAGGCCGCACAGCACGCGAAACTTGAGGCCACGGCCTCACATCCTAAGGCCCCGGCAGCCCAAGCCAAAATCTGTGTTTGGAGGTCCCGGTGGAGATCGAGCGGGTCTACACCAAAGAGAAGGCGGCTGAAGTATCATATCTTTGTCTAAACACTTCATATAAGTATATCATTCTACATATATGTATTATATACACACTATATCTTTATATAGCTCCAACGCTTCGGTTGAGGGTTCAGGATCTACGGCGCTTCTTGTCTGTTCCGAGGCTGATAATATGAGGGGCCACAGCTCTGTGGACGCACCATTGTCAAATGAGAGGGAGGAGCAGCAGCCGCCATAGCCAGCATCGTTATCGTTGTCGTCGTCGTTTGGACCATCGCTTCGACTTTCTCTGTCAGGCTTTTTCAAGGCTCTGCAAGATAAGACTGCACACGTTTTTCTTGCTGTCTTCCCAAATGCTCATCTCAATTGCTCCTTGCTGACATGCGTAGTAGCAGTATGTAGCAACCGTGCAAAGCCAACGCAAAAGAAAGCACTGAGCAAGGACAAACAAGAGCGCAAAGAACATGTCGCGGTGATACTATAACAGCCGGAGCAGTATCAGCAACCAGTGTAACATGAACGTCCAGGTCCATGCCGGCATCACGTGTTGCAATAGCGTCGGCTAAAGTTCCGCAGAATGAAGATACTACAACTCTACCGCAATACTACTATACTACAAGCCCTTTTTATATAGCGCATCGAAGGCCACTCTACAAAGAAGAACCCCCTGCTCCATGTGGTCCCTGCCAGGCTATCCCGATCCTCTATGGCTCGCAGACGAGCTGCGAGGCTGGCTCATGGGCACTGGGATTCTCCGGGCTTTCAAGGGTCCAGCAGCTAGATTGGATTAGGGTTTAGGGTTTAGGGTTTAGGGTTTAGGGTCTGGGTTGCAGAGTTTGGGGTTAAGGGAAGCCGCAATTCCGAACACACCCTGGTTCGTACACCCTGAAACCCAGAACCCTGAAGCCCAGTTCATCAATCCTAAACCCTGGTCCGATCAACTCGCAACTAGAAAGCTATAGTTCGTAAACTTCAGAGCTTTTCTAGTGGGACTCCTGGGAGCCTTACCGTTTGATGCTTTAGCTTTATGTACTACGCTACATCGGACTACAGGCGGATGTTATTAGTACTTGCTCAGACCTACTGTCGGATATCCCTGTGCATGTAACAATATTGGTGGCAATGGCAAGAGCCATACATCGTCGTGCTTGTATTTTCAACCGTGGGACGAGGAGGCCAAGAGTGATTCGGCAGAGTGGCCTAAATGTCATCTGAAAGGAAGACAGAGTCATGGCAGCATGCTGCAGCAGTCACGATGCTTGAGCATCAAAACAGCTCGTTGTCCGTAGCGGCCTGGCAGCTTTGGCAGAGCGAGAGAGAACCCTAAACCCTAAACCCTAAACCCCTAAACCTTAAACCCTAAACCCTAAACCCTAAACTACAAGTGCAGAGGTTAGGTTGCGAGCCATTTTCAGGCGATGAAGACCTTCTTTTACTACAACAAGAACAGCACTCTACTTGACGCCACGAAGCTCAAGCGTCTCGGTTTAAGGTTTAGGGTTTGGGGTTCCCTAAACCCTAAACCCTAAACCCTAAACCCTAAACCCTAAACCCTAAACCCTAAACCCTAAACCCTGAACGCTAAACTCTTTGCCGTGGGTTTCACGTTTTCATCTTGCCGACCTGCAGCCGCGCGGTCACCATTGGGTCCAATCATTGGGCTCCCTAAACCTTACCTTGAACTACCGAAACCTACTTTTTTGTAGGGTCCCTATAAATTCTATATTAGGGTTTATAATAAGGACCTACAAAAAAGTAGGTTGTGGTAGTTCAATGTAAACCCTGATTGGGGCATGGAGAGTTGAGGCTACAGGCCTTACAGGGCGCCTTTTTCGGGCCGGAGCTGTGTCGTTCAGGGGTTCAGGGCACGGAGTCCCACGAAGCCCGAACTGGAGGTTCGGGAGTCGTTTCAAGCAAAGGGGCCAGGGTCTTGTCTTCAGTATTTTAGGAAGGACCGGTGCAAAAGGGTTTGAAGCTTTTACGCCAACGTACTCGTAAATCGTACTTGCACCCTAAACCCTAAACCCTAATCCCTAAACCCTAAACCCTAAACCCTAAACCCTAATCCCTAAACCCTAAACCCTTAACCCTAAGCCGAAGGAGGGCCTTGAAGCCAGGGCCTGCCCCGAGATTCTCGGCCCGTAGATGCTAACCCCCTCCCCCAAGAGCTATGCTGCTGAGGCGGGTGAACGCCGGTGCCCTGGAAGAATGTCGCCGGGCGATGGTTTGGTCCATGAAGCTCCCTGGTGTAATATAGGGCCTAAATGATTACCGATACTAGTTAGTTTGGGGTTCCCCATTATATTTACAGTATAATGGGCCCCAAAACCCAATTCTAATTATCAAATTACTACAAGTTTGTACAAAAGGGTTTTGGGGGAGACTATATAGGGACTCTGAAGGGATGTTGTTGCTATAGTATGTGTTAAGACCTCTTTTGTTGTAGGTTCAACGCAAGAGCACCAAGAAGCAGGAATGCCATTCCTGTGCTATCCATGCAAAGCTTTGGGACCAGTCTGCAAAGAAAGCATTTGGGCGACTGCATGACTCCGAAACTTTTGTCGGCAAGATCTGGGCTCGGTGTCAATGCAGGGGTCGCGTAGACAACGACGAAGTTGTGTTGAGACCATTTTGTGCAGAACAGTCACCGGAATGTGCATCTGACTTGCGAGCTTTGAAAATCGCAGCGTCTTGGGATACTTTGTCATGAATATCCAGCTATAACCGGCAGAGCTCATCTTCTTGCTCCGACCGATGTGAAAGGAGCTGGCCAAGCGGCAAAGCCGCATGACACGGTACTTTCCTTGGGCGTCCGTCTCCGGCAAAATCTCATGGTCCCGGTTCCTGAATCATCCGCCATCGGGAGGAAGATATGGACATTTAGCTTCACCGCAAGCTGCTTTTTTTCCATGTATGTGTGTGCTAGTGCTGTTCCGCCTGGGTCTGCAAGCGAGGCTTGGCACCACGCTGTGCATCTACTGCGGTGATATCCTGCCAGACTTTCAGGAGAAGATCTGCATCTCCAAGCACCTCGATGAAATCTTGTCGTGAATGGACCAGAACATCTATCTTGTAAGAGGCCCCTTTCCGAATAACAAGAAGCAGTGGGGCGCTCTACTATACCCCTAACCCCTAAACCCTACACCCCTAAACCCTAAACCTCTACCCCTAAACTCCTAAACCCCTAAACCCTAAACCTTTGAACCCCCAACCCCCAAACCCAAATCCCCGGAACGGGCCATCTTCGGGCTTCATGTTAATATAGGGGCCTTAATGCCTTAATAATTATAGTTACTACACTTATGATAAGGAACCCCCAGAGCCCTATTCTAACTATTAAGGCCCCTACCTTAGTCAGGGATTCAGGAGGGGCCCTGGGTCGGGCCTCCGAGTCTTTGAAGGCTTCCGTGCAGCTGCCCCAAGGAGCCTGAGTTAGGATAGGCCTTGCCCAGTTTGGGGTATTACATCACCGTGAACATATATAGCCATATAATTCACAACTAGTAGCCCATTATCCTTAAAATACTCTATCTCATCCTATTTATCAGGTG